GAGCCAGGATCTTGAGGAGACGATGGACGTTTTGTAATAGGGCCTCCGGACAGAGGGCGACCGTCTGTAGCGCAGACGTGACGGGCATTTCACGTTTCTCCCCCGTGCATTGAACGCCTAAACTTTCCCTATTTTTAGCGAAATTTCCTCACTTTGCAAAATTTCCCTCCATCGAGTCGCGATGGTCGCTTACGGATGCGGTGAAGCCAGTCTTGCTTTTTGCTTTCCATGTCGAGGTGCCATCCGATGCAATTCATTATTAGATTAATCCTTCGTTGCACGGAACATCAGAAACTCCGAAGAGACAAGCCTTCATATTCTTACGCATAGACGCAAGGGTCGTCAAGTTCGTTTCCACGTTCGGCGTGTGGTTTGCGTGTTTGAGCGTGGTGTGTGATGCCATTTCCCAGAGTGACGGAATGACAGGTTCAGACTGACGACTTCTCATCGCCCCGTGGATATGCCGCTGCTGCCTTTGGGCCACAGTGCAAGATAAAGCAGGCTAGCAAAACTGAAGCCTGGTTCAGACAGTTGCGTTTGACTGCGTTTGACTGCGTTGAGGCTGCGAGAAACCAGCCCAGACAACACACCGTATCCCAGGGATGTCCCAAAAACCTCCCGACTTCGCAAACTCCAACTTTAATATCCCTAGGACCTCCGTGGGACATCCGTTAGTAAATGATCCCCAAAACTTTCCACTGGGATGTCCCTCGGAAATCGGTCACCGGATGAACTGGGGATGTTAAAAAGTCAAAAAGTTTTAGCAATTTTTTTTTTTTTTTACGCTAGGGTTTACGCAGGTTTTTCTGTGTTGACGTCCGAAATTTAAAATATTATGGTAAAGGTGGACAGCGAGCGGTCTGTCGGATAACGGTACAACGCCCCAAGTATATGCACGTGCGACCCCGCGTTCGACGGTCCGACACGGAGGGTGCCTTCGTGTTGGACACGGGGAACAGCACTATGAAGAACTTTTTTTCTTGTTCCGTAATGGGGCCAGTTTCGTTTTTCTCACATAAAATGATAAGTTCGGCTTGACATCTCTTGAATACAATGCACAAGCACATACACTTGGAGTTTCCTCTAAAAATTAGCTTAGTTTCAGTTTCGGTACTGCAAATGTTTTAAAAAACGAAAACGTTAGACATTAGTGTTAGTCCGTTCCTTAAACTATGCACTACTGTAAAAAAAGTGTGGAGGGAGGTAGCCAAAATTAATTAACGTGTACATACTAAGTTTTATTATTACTGAACCAAGCATGTATAACTACTGTACAACCGAAGTCAGTTGGAGTCTGGCCACATTGGTCATGCTCCGGCAGCTTTCGCGCCAAAAAACGGAAACCGGTCCTCGCTTTCAACTCCTAGTTATTTTCTCCGCTCCGATTGTTCTGGTCGTTGAATGAAAAAACCAAACACGGACGCGAATTTGACAGACAGTTGAGCAGAGCTTGGAGTACCGTTGGTACCTCTGGCGCGTTGCTGCACCCATGGAAAGCATAGAAAATCAACGAGCTACTCCAGGTAACGTTTTCTATTTACACGTACCACTTAGTGCGGGAAGCGTGTTCTTGCCACTTGTGTGTGCACGCAAAGGCCGTGGTGTGTAACCTGCTTACTGATGGACCAACCTCCAAAAACCACGTTTTATAGGCGAGCGCGTAAAAGGGCCTTTGAAGATCTGCATGCTCTAACGGCCGATGAAGTTTTCCAAGTGGGCCAGCTTGGCGACGGCTCGATCCCGGTTGAAGAGCTGCATGGCCCAAGAGAACGGAGCCATCTGCTCCCGACATTCAACTCCGACCTCGAGAGCTTGGAGCCAGATGAAGCCCAACGTGCTGACCTCCGGCCTCAGCAAATTTCAGAGAGCTCAGGCTCCGAGCTCTCGAGCTCGGAGCCAGATGAATTCGACCGAGTTGACTTCCAGCCTGGGGACAATTCGGAGAGCTCAGTCACAGAGTTTGAGAGCTCGGAGGCAAATGAATTCGACCGAGCTGACCTACAGCCTCAGAACATTCCGGAGAGCTCGATTCGTTATGAAGAGAAGAGAAATTGCGAGGATGCGGACGTTCATGAATCGATTGTAGGAAAACTCCGGAGCTGGGCTCTTGACACGGCTACGCCTCACCGCGCACTCACTGAGCTTATGAAGATTTTGCAAACTCATTCCTGTTTTGCATCAATCCCCGGCAGTGCTATATCACTGCTTAAAACCCCCAGAAAGGCATGTGTAGAGAAGATGGGAGCCGGCAAATACTGCCACTTCGGTGTGAAGGAAGGACTTCACGATACTTTGAAACGAGCACGTTTTGTGCCAGACGTCATCAAGATCAATGTAAACATTGACGGTCTTCCGCTCACAAAAAGCACCCGTGATAACTTCTGGCCTGTGCTATGCCATGTGACCAATTGCGGGAAATGTGACCTTTTTCCCATTGATGTTTACTATGGCAAATTAAAAGCCGTTTGTGCGGAGGAATTTCTGCGGCCTGCTGTGTCCGACATCATTGAAGCACTGAGCGACGGATTAATCTTCGAGGTGCAGGCATTTGCGAATCGAGCTTTCTGTGCTCATCTGTGATGCTCCCGCAAAGTCCTATGTCCTCGGCATCAAGGGCCACAATGGTTACTTCAGTTGTACAAAATGCCAAACAGAAGGTGACTTTCTCAATGGTCGCATGTGCTTTCCGCAGCTTGATGCCACGTTGAGAACGGATGGGAGTTTCCGAAGCCATGCACAAGAGGAACATCATCTCCAAAGAACTGAACTGGAAAAGCTTCCTATTGATTTAGTGAAGACCGTTCCATTGGACTATATGCACCTTATCTGTTTAGGTTTGGTTTCTAAGCTCCTGAGATTATGGCTCAAGGGTGACAGCAGGTGTCGGTTAGGCACGGCTGCACGAGATGCTATATCTTTAGCCAACCTTGAGATTGAACGGTACATCTGTTCCGATTTTGGTCGAAAGCCCAGAAGTCTGCTCGATTTAGACCGCTGGAAGGCGGTAGAATTTCGGCTGCTTGTGTTATACACAGGGCCCATTGTTCTTTACTCGAGAGTTCCAGAGCCTTTCTTCTTCAACTTCATGACTCTGCACGCTGCCATCACAATTCTCAGCAGCCCAAAACTTTGCCTTGAGTATGTGGACTATTCTGAACAACTGCTTGTACATTTTGTGGAGACCTACATTTCATTGTATGGAAAGGATAAGGTGTCGCATAACGTGCACAACCTTATCCACATTGCGAATGATGCACGCACTCATGGACCCTTGGATGGGTGGAGTGCATTCCCTTTTGAGAACCTTATGGGGACATTGAAAGTCTTTCAAAGGAAACCCGAGAGGCCCTTGGAGCAACTCTACAACAGAATCGCTGAACGCAGAAGTATGTTTGTGAAGACAAAGTTCAAGGATAAAAATCACTTTTTCCATGAACATGTCAATGGCCCACTGTCTGTTGGATGTAAAGGCCCTCAATACAAGGCTGTTCAAATCCTTCACAAATTTACGTTGACGACTCGCATCAATGACAACACCTGTATGCTCAACGGTGGTGACATCATCATGATCCAGAACTTCGCTTTTTGCTTCCTGTCTGGCCAGGCACTGGTGATCGGCAAGCGGTTCGAGAGCTCAAGTGACTTGTATACCCACCCCTGTCCGTCGTCAATGCTTGGTGTTGTGCTGGCGTGTAACCCTTCCGTCACCAAATCGTGGCCACTTTCAGATGTTGCCCAGAAATGTGTCCCAATGCCTTGCAAGGGAAAATTTGCTGTCTTTCCTTTACTTCATTTCCAGTAATGTCACCTCTTTCAACTTCGGTTGTATATTGATCTGCAATCTTCATTTGTTGACAGAATCTTGCTTTTTTATATATCTAGATGACAAAAAGTTTGGAGTTGTCAAATTCGTTGGTGACAATACCGTCGCCGTTATTCATTCAAACTGGGTGGATGGGGCTGACTGCTTTTGGCCAACTGCAACACAAAAGAATCTTGGTGCTCTCACCTTGGAAGGTGCCCAGCCACAGCCAGATTGGAAGAAATCCCGTTTTGCTTCCTTAGGATGGTATGGTAAGTGGAAAAAACTGCTGAAGATGTTCTAGCAACTGAATGCTTGGTGGAGACATAGCAATCCCTTCTTTTTTACAGACACTTACCAGAAAGCCAGAAGCAAGTTGCCGACGGCCGAGTTGACATCGGACCTTTGTAGCGACGTGGAGATGGGTCGTGGGAGAAGGAAAAAGCCAAGAGGATTTTGTATAGTGAAACTGAATCTGAGGGTGAAGAGACCTACCAGCCGCCCAAACCGCCAACTCCACCATGCTTTAAACCAACAACGAAAAGTGAGTGGTTTACTCCATAAGCAGTAAACTGAGTGCACCTCTACGGAAGGTATTTGCTTTTTGACATTTCACATGTCTGAGTTGTTCAAGTTCTTGTTTCAAATATAACTCGGGTATGTTTGTTTCTCCAGGCGTCCGCTGCAGACGTAAAGTGCCCCAGGTTCGAGAAAAGACTTACAAGCCCTCCGGCGAGCGAGCACATGGTAGTAAATGTTAATTGCTTTTGGTGCTTTGTTTCAATGCCTTAGCAGAATTGCTTCAATGTTCCTTGGTTGGTGCTGTATTCTTAGCATGTGATTTCAGCGACAATGGATTCATCATGTCTTTTTAGGCAGCCACCGCCTTTTTAAAGGCCGATCCATTACCTCGGTACCAATCAGCAACCAAGGATTCATTGAAGTTGAACCCAGTAGGCAGGCGAACTAGTAAAGGATAGACGTAGTAACCCTGGAGTGGGGACAAAAAGGATGGACACAACACGGAGCTTTGTGTTTGTGGTCATCTTTTTTGTCCTCACGCTCCAGAGTTCCGATGTCTAAGAATTCATGTGGAGAGGCTAGACATGGTACGAAATATTCATCACTCCTACGGCTAATGCGTGGTCTCTCTTTCAGGCAGTCGGCGTAAATCTCATGAGAAATTGTCGCCTCAGCACCGTTCACCAACAAGTTATTCCTCTCAAGAGCAGACACACGGTAATAAACATCTACCACTTTTGGAGCTTTTCTGTGGTGGGGTTGTCTTGTATTATGTTTAAAGTAAGGTGAATGCATGGTTTATTTTTCAGGCAGTCACTGTGAATCTCATGGAGAGCTGTCATCTCGGCACCGTTCACCAACCAGTCATTTCTCTCAAGAGTGGACACATGGTAAGAAGCATTTATCACTTTTCGAGCTTTTTCTCAACACCACTCCAGGATAGCTTTCCAGTGGTGGGGTTGTCTTTCTTGTATCATGTTTAAAGTACGGTGAATGTTTGGTTTCTTTTTCAGTCAGCCGCCATGAATCTCGTGGAGAGCTGTCACCTCAGCACCGTTCAGCACCCCGTTATTCTTCTGAACAGTGGACACATGGTAATAGATATTTATTACTTTTGGAGCTTTCTCTCAACACTCCCAGATAGCTTCTCTGTGGTGGAGTTGTCTTTCTACTATGTTTAATTTATTGCAAATGCATGATTTCTCTTTCAGGCAGTCGCCGTGAGCCTCGTGGAGAGCTGTCACCTTGACACCGTTCAGCAAACAATTATTCCTCTCAAGAGTGGACACATGGTAATAGACATTTATTATTGTTGAAGATTTTTCTCAACACCACTCCAGGATAACTTTTCCATCGTGAGGTTGTCTTTATTGTATTATCTTTAAAGTACGGAAAATGCATAATTTCTCTTTCAGGCTGTCGCCGCGAGCCTTGTGGAGAGCTGTCAACTCGGCGCCGTTCAGCAACCAGTGATTCCTCTAAAGAGCGGACACATGGTAACAAACATTTATCACTTTTGGATCTTTTTCTCGATACTTTTCCAGGATAGCTTTGCCTTTTTTGAGGTGATATTGCCTTAATTGTATATACCGTAATGTACCGAGCAAGCGCCCTCTCAAAATTTGGAGGTAATTGCGAAAAGAGGGGGGATTCTCGTTAGGTGATCAATTTCACCTATATTTGTACTGCGCGTAATCTTTGAGATGCTACAATATTTGGAGGTGGGCGCTTAGTGTGGAATGGGCGAACACCCAGTATTTTACGGTACTTTTTAATATGGTGCGCACAAGATTTTTCCATCAGATACTCGCCGTGCATTCCATAAAGAAACGTCGCCTCGTAGTCAAGCGAGCAAGTCACCTGCTTGGTGGGAACATAGTGAAAAAAGTTTGTTTTTTGTTTGCTTGATTTGTTTATGGAAGACAGGAACCTAACTTGTGCTTTAATGAGGGAACTTGTTTACAAACCAGCATAGTCCGCGCTTCGTTTGGCTGATTTCACTGCTTTGGAAGTTATTATCTCGAGTGCCTTTTGATATCTGCCCTATTGTGGTATTTCAGTGCTAGAAGAGCTCTGTTACATATCTCTTTTCTCCCGGGAACCATTCCATCTATAGACAGCGGAGGGTTACTAACTGTCTTCATGGACACATAAGTTATTAGTCTTAGTCTATTTGCAATATTTGGGACTAAGTTTGAACCTGTTTACTGTGGATGTGCATTGTTATACAGATCAGGCTTTAACCGCAGTTTGCGCTCAATTTCTTTTTCCAGGAGGCCGTTCCATGTCCCCTTTGACTCCGAGACATGAGCAAGCAAGCCAAGAACACGGTAATAAATCCGAATTTTTGTGGTATATCCCATTTTCAAAAAACAATCCCTTTTGCTATTTGAGCACACACTATAAATCTTTCTCTTACTATTATGTTACGTTCAGATGGTGCTTCAAATCCTATTTAAGGATACTTTTGCTGTTTCACAGGTGATCACATTTTGAAAGACGGACAGCCTTACACTCATGGCCCGAGTACATCAACATCCGGCCAGCAATTGAGTGGTGATGACATTCAATTGTTTTCTTAAGACTAGATACCTCTTGCCCTAACATATGTTCGTCTGCTGGGGTCGCCTTACGTGCAACTTTGTGTGCACTCGTTCTAAGCTTTATGATGCAGGTACTGAAGTCGCTACACATCATGAGACAAACCCAACAACACCAATCTGAGCAGCTGATGATGATCACCGACATGATACACCATGTGGATGGGCCACCTGCTGAACCTCTAAGCTTTGCACAGTTCGAGACCCTACAGGAATTCCTTGCCTTTGAGAAAGAGTTGACTGCATGCGAACAAAAAAGGGTCCAACTGGTTAGCTCACGTTTGAGATGCACTCTTTTTTATAAGGAGGATAAATCCATACTACTTTTTGTACGGCCTCTGAGGCCTTCATACACCCTCCTGCAGTAGAGGCGACCCATTCCCCACGTCCAGCAAGTTCACATTTACTATCTTTGGTATTTATTTCAGAAGCAGCAGATGCAAGTAATTGGGGGTGATGATGCGAAAGATAAAACTGCCCGAATTCTTCGCAAAATGCTGTGCCACGAAGTGGGGGCAGCCTTCACATGGTATGGGACCAAGACAAATGGAAAGTTCTCCAGTCTAGAGTTCTGCAAGGTGATGTGTGGTATATACCCATGCACTGTAATGATATAATTCATGATTTTTACTTTGTGTGTGTGGAACGTTTATGAGAAACTCATTTACAATTGGTTAATTTTCTTTCCTGTTGGCTCTAACTAATAAAATCATGCTATAAGACATGGTGCTGCAGCTAAGTAACACATCTGCTTCTGCTAGATTTTAACCCTAAAATATTTTACAGCTTGCATTACAGCGAGCAAGCCGAAGGAGGTGGCTGTTGGCACCCTGAAGGAAGTTGAAGCCACTACAATGTCATGGCTGCGCCATGCCCAGGAGAGGCTTCAAAAGCATTGCAATAAGTAAGCCTATTCATTTGTGTTCAGCTGAGGTTGCAATGTTAAGGTTCATGAAATTACATGTTGCATGTCCAACTCTGAAATATATGGCCACGGTTCGGAACATATTAAGGAATGGAGCATACCTCTCTCAAATGAACTGCATTTGCTTTGGTTGAGGTGTCTACCTGAAAAGCTACAAACATGGTCGCACTAGAATAATTAATAATTTAATTAAGCAGACATTCAACAAGGCAGTTTCAACAGGGAATTCAGCTTATCAGCTTGTTCTTCTATCTTCTAGGGATGTGGAAGAACCCGGGGAGGGTCTGTGAAAGCAAGATGGCCGGAAAGCTACGGATAGTCTGTAAGAGCTGGGAAATGGTCTGTGCAAATAAAATAGATGTTACCTTTTCTTACAGATTGGAGTTGCCTTTTTGTTAATGAGAACCTCATCTGGAGTCTTGCAAAAGGGCCGTCTTCACATGCAGTGTGCTTTATATTCTAGTAAACAGCAGGAGGCACTCATTTTGTTAAATGAATACTTGATAATCAGTATATCATGCATGTAATGATGCTGTTTTTCAGGGGTCTTTGGCTACATCCTCAGTAAGAACTGCATTTACAGCTGTGAGGCTGCAAGAGACCCCAGTTGTCATGCCTTGTAAAACTCCTAACACTCACCATAGTGAGATTTACTTTCCTTCAAAACAGCACATGCCATGTCTCCCTTACCCCAGAATGTAGAATGCACATCGCCTGTGTTGGCGGCTCGGTACACTGGCTCCAGTGGTTTCGAGTAATTTCAAATGGCATCCGCAAACCTGAATGAGCTGTCTTGTGCAAGTCCCATAGCCATCCAATGTGGGATAATACCTCCCAAAGTAGTCCTACTCGCATCCCGTGAGAGTGCGAAGGAATGTCCACGGGACCTCCGTGGGAACCTCCCATGCTTTGTTTCCAGTGCCATTTGAGACGTCTACGGGAAGTTTAAGGGGGGAATCTGGGATATCCCTGGGATGTCGCTGCCATCCCGGTGGGACTTCCGTAGGACGCCCCTGGGATACATTTGTGTTGTCTGGGAGGACATCCCTGCTGCTTATATCGCGTGCCAAGATGATTCCTTGAATTGGATTCCAAGCTTCATACGAAGCACAGATGTGCCGGAGACTCGTTTTCGGTTCTCGACGCAACGCAGTCAACCGCACTCAAACGCAAGTGTCTGAACCGGCCTTAAGACTCTCTTTCCTTCGGCATCTTGTTCTGTAGCACGAATTTGTTGAACTTTTAAGAGATAATAGATTTTGGTTTTGTGATTGTTCAAAATTGCCTTCGCCTTATATATGGGCCCCTAGTGTTTGTGCCTGGTCGGTTGCTCTAATTTTTCAGCGTCAAGATTTTTTTTTTTCAGCTTTCTGTTTTGTGACGTTATAGCTATCCTTGTGTTTTCTCTGGCCTTTACACGTTGGTAATGCAGTGCTACCTAAAAAAGCGGAGGGAGTTGTGTGCTGTGAGGAAGCTTTTAAAGTTGATGGGGCGCAACTACGACAACAGTAAAACAGTGAGCCACCACGGCCGTGTTGCTCTAAATAAGGAGTTTTCGTCGATCGTTTCCGCTGTCCCGCAATGCTCTCCGCAACCCGCTACGATACCCAGAACTCTACTGTCAAGGCATCGGCGTGCAGGCGCGGTGGCGGCTTCTTTTTTGCGGAGGGCTCAGCGGAGGGAGAAACACGGTCTACGAAAACTCCTTATTGAAGCCTGCTCCATTTTGAAAACTGACAACGCATCTTTACCTGTTTCGTCGTAACAGCGCCTCCATAATCTTTGCCTGAACGTCCGTACCCCCGAGCTTACCCTGCGTCATTTGGGGGGAACGTTAACCCCCCTCACCCCCCCCCCCCCTTTCCCGAAATAAAATCCTGGCTACACCACTGTAATCTGACTTTAAACACTTATGTAGACTGCATGAGCCATTGTCTTAGAGCATATACTGATGAGCGAGTGGCATGGGATAAAAAAAGAACGCAAATTTCCTCCTAATTTGCCTTAAAAATCACGGTGGAAAATGAAAATCAAAATTATTTTAATCGTGATTTAAATAAAACTTGTTTTACCGTGATGATAAAAATCAATCCTTCTCTACAAAAATAATCCCAAAATATTTTTTATTTACCACTTGTCCATCCTTTGTTGCTTTCTGTGTGAAATTAAAATAAAAGGACCCTGAAGCAAGAATGACTTGTATCAGGCTGAACAGGAACACGAGGCAGTGGTCGTCTGGGGCCATCAAAATGCCCTGAGCTTTCTTTCTAACGTTTTATGGCACGTAAATAGGGATGGGAAAGAAATCTACAAAAAAAAAACTAGAAAAGTAATGTACTCTATTAAGAACATCTGAACGCGAAAGAAAAAGCAGATCAAGTTTCTTCGCTAACGAAAAGAAATCAAGCTCTCTTTCCACTATGGCGGGGTTTATTCAATAAAAAGTCGTCTATTAAACTGCAGTTTTAATTTGCAGTAATTCTTTTTTTTTTTCCGGGTTGTTTTCAGTAATTGAAGGGATTGATCAATTAGTCTGGCATATTGCGAAATATATCTTATTAGGAATTGTTTTAGAGCTACAGTGTTTTTTTAAGTTAATCTGATGTAAATAAAACCTATACGATTTCTTCCATGTTTACAAAAATATAATGGTTTGATTCACCCAGGCAAAAACTGTGTATATGACTGGTAACACCACTGTGAAAACAAAACAGAAATAACAATAATAGTGATAGTGGGGTGAGCTGCTGTAAGTTTAAAGTATCTGTGAAAACTCCAAATTAGGCGAAAAAACAAAATGGTAAAACATTAAGCCTACAGAAAGGACTGTCCGTCGAGCCGGATTCGAACCAGCGACCTATGGATTTCCACAGTTCTCACTTCTACAGTCCACCGCTCTACCAACTGAGCTATCGACGGACGCAAACGAGGGAAGCCTACATTTGAGCCCGATTCTGTGAAGAGGAAATGGTTTGTTTCTTTCCTTGTCATTTGTGGTTTCGACTTCAGTTCTGCTATCACAGATACTCCGATCAACCGGACAAACGACGCGGCCGCTCACTTATTCCGATTCGAGTGTCTGTGCGGAAAAATAGCGGTGCCCAACGCGCGGAGATCTGGGAGGCCCTTTCGACGTACAGCGGGTAGCTCGACACGCTCAATCTTAAAAGTTCACGACCGAACAAACTCGATTGGTGGATTCTGATGCTGACTCAGATCAGAGGCTTCGTCATCCGAAGAAAGTAGTTTTGCGATTTGCTTGACCGCAAGTGCGCTCAAAAAGCGGTCTAGCTGCTTTAGACGATCTCACCTTCAGCACTGCTGGCGCGGCGCCATCCGGGAGCTTTACAGCGAAGCATCTCACAAGATCGTCGGCCACTCAGGCGGCATTTTAAACGCTCACTACGGTGAGGGGGCCCGTCACTGTAGTGCAGCCGGCAAAAGTGAGGGGGCCACGTCACTGTAGTGCGGTAGGCAAAAGTGAGGGGCCCCGTCCCCCGGTGCGGTCTATTCTAACTAAACGGTGAGAGCGCTTAAAATTTATACGCGCTTTAACCTAGCTTTAACCTGCGTCTTCGTCTTTTTGGCCCGTTTTTTTGCGCTATTTTTAATATAAATGAATAAAGTTTGTTTCGTTGCATTGTTTCAAGCGTTTCCAAAAATGTACCGTATTTTCCGGGCTATACTTTTAAAAGTTGAAATTTTAGGCTGTACGGACTATGCGGGATTTTTGTTTTTCAATATCGTTGATTATGACGAGACGAGACGGATTTTGTGAGTGAAAGAATATGTTAATGATGATTTATGTATATTAAAGTTTTTTTTGTGAGCTAAGAAAGCAGACATTTCTCAAGGTGTGCCCTCTATAAGAAGATATCCGTTACGAGTAAGCACCAGGTGCGGACTATGCACCGTGTGGACAATGTAAGCAAACTTTTATTTTTTTTCCCAAATTCGCCCTTGCGGACTATAGTCTGGAAAATATGGTACAGCAGCATAAATAAACGCTTTCAGAAATGTTTTGTTGACAGTAAAAAATTTTTTATTGAAGGTAAACACACAACCTTGTGACAATATAAAAAGTTTTCCCATGCTGTTAACACGGTGACATTGGCGCAGACTCGAAGTATGGCCGGCAGGACACTTGCAGATGATGTACACATCTCGAGAAACAAGGGACTGTCAAAGAAATCGTAGGGCCGAGAACCCCGACTATTTCAGGGATGTCGCACGGCAGATCATGATATTCCAAATCTCACGAAAGATGTCTCCCAGTTCGTAAGAAAGCAGTCATCACCTAACCTTATCTATCTTTAGCCAAGCTATACTGAATCTTTGCGTACAGACTAAACCAAAACATGTAACTCAAAGACAGAAGAGACTACAGAAGTTGCCAATCAACTAACGATACTTTTACTGGCTAAGAACCGGGCACATATAGAGAATGCAAGATAGACGAGGGAAGGTCACCTGTATATTCGAGCGAGGGAGTGAAAATTAATTTAAATTGACTAAGAATCTTTCACGAGCAATAACAGGGTTGGTAGGTTCCCTGCAATTAGTCTTCATTCAACACCTCAGCTGGCGTCTCGTCTAGTAACTTGTTGCAGGATGAGCATCAGCGTCGACCTTGCGGGTGTTCACAAAGTGCACGCTACAAATCCTCGCTGACGTTGGCGGAATGAAAATTGAACCGCCCCCACTGAAAAATAAATCAATAATATAAGATATCTGGTGTGATCAGCGGAAAATAGACACGAAATAATAAAAACTATTATTGTTCCTAACAAGTAAAAACATAATCAGGCTTTTTTTTATTTTAAAGGGGCCCACCAACACTTTTTTGACCGGTTTGAAGTTGGCGCTGAAACGGAGCTCCATGAAAGCAGGAACACCGAGGAAAAAAATATTACAGAAATTCGCAATATTTTGTGAGTTATTAGAAAACTAAATATTGCAGAAAACAACTTTAAATAAGCAAAACATTGCACTTCATGACGTAAAATGAAACAGTTTAGCGATTGGAGCAAAGCATCGGCCCGGGCGATTGGAGCAAAGCGTCGGGCCGGTCGGCTCGTCG